GATGGCCTAAGTAATATTTAAGATTGCTAATTCTACCTATCTAATGGCATAAATTTAAGCAGTGCTTCCTCCACCTCTAACTGTGACTCTGATATCCAATCTGCCTGTTCTGACTTAACCAAGAAGTAATAATGGTTCGAGAGCCTTTTATCTCAATGGGGCTGGATTGACTAATTCAATTGGAGCTCCATTCACTCTTACCAAACCTTATTTTATTGTATTACAGTACCCTTTCCTTCTCTAACACTTGCACTGGCGACGGCATTCTTCTTTCTTCCAAAGGTTTGAACCAATTTTGATTTTATTTGAGGAGTTGACATATCCAAGAATTAAATAATTTAATTTAATCAATTTTCATTATATTTATAGGCCTATGAGAATTTCAATTAAAAGCAGCGTCAACCACTCATCTGCCCATCTAATTAAAAAATACTCTAAATACATTAATAAAGAGACTGTTTAAATAATATTTGAATTGATTCTAATAATTCAATAGGGTCGTTGTTTTCTAAGTTCATCGAGCAAAGCACGACCTTTGGCCTTTTCTAATTCTATTTTTTTATCATATTCCTCTTTTTATTTTCGAAGTGCTTCCTCCTCCTATTATTTCTTATCTCTTAACAATTATTGTCTATGTTTTTTCTCATCCATTTAATTTATTAAATTGTGTTTTGTTTACATTATTTTCTAAACAATTTATACTTGTATAATTTACTTCCTATTCTAATCTCTACTTTTCCTCTAATTCCTTTTGATACAGTTCCATTTAACGTTGAAGTTCCATCTTATCCAACTGCTTAACATTCTTCTCATCTTCAATTACTTTCTTTTTTATTTCCACATTCTCAGCTCTTTGAGCATAAACTTCGTACATTAATTTGACTCTTGCATCCTTACAATAATTATAAGTATTACATCCTCAGCCTTCCATTTAGCTTCTTTGGTTTCCCATTGTCTATTGTTCTCCTCATTAATTAATCTTTCCTTTAATTGATCATTTACACTATACTCGTTTGTTCTATTCTTAAAATTAAGTAAAAATTATCTGGTTTCTTCTTTCTATCTTTATTTCTCTGCTTACTCCATCTTACTAATGGCCTCTTCTCTTGAGAGTACTTAAGAAATCATTTCTTTGTCCTCTATTTTCTCTTACTGTTTAATTTGTTTTTTATATTCCTTTTGTTTTTCATTATTTAATGCAATTTCTGAATTAATTTCCTTCTTATAATTCATATATTGATTTTCTCTTTATTTATGTCTTTCCTCTTCTCGTTTCCATTCTTCTTTCTAAAATTGTGAACATTCATTTTTACCAGCATTTATTTTTCCTATTCAATTTCTTCCTTAGTCTTTTAATGTTTGACTTCATTCATTTTTGTTTGCACAGCCAACACCTTATTTCGTTCATCTACCTTAGCCTTTTGTTCCAATTCCTTCACCTTCTCTAATCTCTCCTTTTTCAGTATCTCCCTTCTATACAATTCTGCATATATCATTTCCTCTATAAAGATAATTCTTCAATTGCATACCCTCATATTGATCCTCCAACTGTTTTTATTTATCCATCATCTGCATATTTCTATAAGCCACTGCTTATAGTTCATTAAATTGCTAATTGACCATTCTGAGTTCATCAGCATTTTCTCTAAATCTACGATCATATGCTGCATCTGCTTATCTAGCTCTTTCAGCCTCCTTTCTTTGTTTCAATTCAGCAACTTCTTTCATCATTCTCTCCTTGACCTATTCTGGAGTTTCAACCATTGCTTTTATTTCCTATTGATATTGCTCATGCTCTGCATTAAGTAAAATAGCTAGTTTTTCTCTTCTTTAATTCTTATTAGCTTCAGCTTCTGCACGAATTTATTGAAGTCTAAGATATGCTACTTCAGAACCTATTCTTTGTATATTATATGTTGGCAATATCCTTTCCTTTGTTTTCCCAGGCAGCAAATGTTCTCTCGTAATGCTCTTGTCGAAGCTTTGTGTTCAATTTGCCTACATACTACTCCTATGATCTTCTTTGGTAGATTAATTGTTCAGAACGGTTACGAGTAGAACTTTATATCATATTTAATTTAATAATTTTCTTTAAGACAAGAACTATTCACTCAGGTTGAGCAATTCACCCAATAAACAAATTTTGACACTATTCTCTCCTATCTTTATATAAAATTGGGCTAATGTGATTTTTTATTACTACTTATAATCAAAAGTTAAAGTTAGAATAACATTACCAATTTGTAGAACTCAGTAACCGTATCTTCTCTAATACTTTATCATCTTATAATGAATGCTATAAAGCTATTTTTATCTCCTCATCAAAGTCTGAGACTATCATTTTAATTGCAATCTCTTCCTTCAATCTCTTTCATTAGCTAGAATATTCTATTTATGGATTCTGTCCCCTACAAACACTTGTGCTCAATTATTAAACATCTCAATTTTTATGCATTAATCTTATCTAATTCATTATTATTTGCTAACGTAAGATTATCATTTTTATTTTCCACAGAAATAGACTTTTCCTGTTAAATAGGCTGAAATCTTAAGCATTCTTTTCATCTTACAAACTTTAATTATAAAGCAAAATTTAAGAGGTTCACTTAATTTACTTATTTCTTTTAAATTACTAAAAGTATTAATTACTATTTAAAATAATGAATTAAGACTTAGATCAGAAGTCAATAGTATGAAAAGATTATCATAATAATAGGATTAAATAATAGACAAAAAGTTAGCTATTATGGAGGCTGAATATGAGCTGTTTAAGAAATACGACAATCCAAATTACAAAGGAGCTGACTATCCAATTGATTAAATTAATAATTAAAGCAATGATAATCAATAAAAAGAAAATGATGATGAAGAACAAGATCAAGGTAAAGATAAGGATGAAAACATGAATTTAGACGAAGATGATGAATTTTAAGAATATCAAGGCTATGAAAAAATGGAAGAGAATTCTGATAAAGAAGAAGAAGATGATATAAATTATGATCAAGTAGAGCATGTCGATCCATTTGCTAAACCTTTAGATGTAGATTTAATTAAGAAATGCATGGCAGAAATCCATATGCCCACTCCTGCATGGGCTTAAAATTTATAAGGATGGGAATAAAGATTGAGTTAAATGAAATAGTTATGATAAGTTTTTAGAAAAACAAAAAAATCAGTAACCAATAGTTGCTAATGTTACTAGCAATGTAGCACATGTTTCAGCCTTATTTTCATCCAAATCAAGATTATCCAAAATAGCCATTTTTATATGCTACTTTCCCAAATCTTCTTAATGAGAACACAGTTTTGCTAGTTTATATAATTATTCAAAATGTTATCCTTAATTTTATTTCTAGTTTATCTCTCAAAATTCTAGAACCACTCTGGTTTCCTCGTTGAGGTTCTGGTTAGGATTTTGAAGTATTCACAATTTAGATTTATTCTGAGTTGCCTTACATCCAAGTATTTACTTGCTTTTTGGGATGTAAGGTATCGGTATTTTCTCTAAAATCTTCGCTTGAATCTTCTGAGTATATTCTAGATCCTTCAGAATCGTTATCTCCTTATGTTGGAGGCTCCTCTATTTTTTTAGGTTGTTCTGACTAAATATAATAGAATCTATATAATTACAAGCACATTCTTCAATTCATTTATCATCTCTTTCATATCCTCTTCACTGTTTCTTTTTTTAATTACTTATGGTTTTTTTTAGAACGGATCCTTATATATGATTTTATAGATTTTTTTTTTATTTTTTTCTTCATCTGTTTTTGAAGTAGATGTCTTACTTGGTTGTTTGGTAGGTTTTTTCTAAGTAACATCAAATACTTAAAGCTAATTTTAGAAGTCAAATGCAGCAGTATCAACAGTTTGTTTGTTATTTTAAATTTATTATTATTCTTCTGAAGTTTAAAAGTCACTAATGGTAGTTTTGTCTAATAATTTCTATTCTGGAGTTTCTGATATTTTTTCCAATTATTGTTATTATTAAAATACTAATTAATGCTATTAAGTTGTAATTATTTCTTCAGATATCTTCCTCTCTCTCTGTTTCTTAATAAATTATTCCAATAATTTAGGCTTGGCGTGAACTCTATATATCGGTTTGATAACTTCTTCTTCAGATTTTTATCCTAATTTTATTTTTTAGATTTAATCCAATTTAGATAATCCCTTAATATTTTTAATGTGAGGCTTATCTAAGACATTTTAAAAAAACTTAGGACTTCCTTATTCGCTATTTTTGGTCCCTTCTTCCAATATCTGATCAGAACCTTAAAAAGAATCAGGACTTTCTTTAGTTACAAATCTAGAGTTTTTTTATTTATGTGCAATTCCCAAATCTGGTGTTGATGGTTGAATTCGCTAACTAGGTAGCTAATATAATTATTATCGACTCGTTTGTTGTCTTGAAATTGGAGGTCTTTCAGGCTTTGATAGTTTAATTTCTGGTAATTTCCTAAGGTCAGTGTTTTTTCTTTATTTTTATTAACAGATAGGAGGACTTTTGATGCCAGGTAATTATTATTATTATTATTATTGTTATTGTTATTGTTATTGTTATTATGTTTAGTTTCTACTTTTTGGAGTCTATTCCGTTTGATCTACTTTAAGATCTTAATCATCTATTAATGGTATAGTGGTATCCGTTAATTGAATCTATTGATTATGTAAAATGGTATGATCAAATTCGCTTCTCTTCATGGTTTCAGATAGAAAGTTCTTTATTCTATTTGTGATGATTGTTGCATTTTTAATATCTAATGGACATCTGGTCTTTTCTCAGGATTCACTGTCAGAAGTTAATTCACAAGGCTACCTTTGATTAATAATGAGTGTTGATTTACGTTCTCAATTATGACGAATAGTTATTTGAGATAGCTTAATACTGCCCACGAACTATTTTTAATGCTAGTGATGCTAACGAGTCTGCATTGAACGGAGGAGTTTTAGCACACATCTAAGATATAATTCTCTTGAATACTTCGTATAATATGACTCCCAAAGACCAAACATCACCTTTAAAACTATAAGGTTTGTTTTCTAGCAATTCTGGAGCCAAATAATATGGAGTACCGACCATTGTATGTGCTTTGTCACGAGTGTTATCTAGCAATCTTGCAATTCCAAAATCTCCCAACCTTATCCTCATATCCTTTGTAAGGAACATGTTTTATGTTTTAATATCTCGGTGAATGACTTTACGATCATGACAATGTTTGATTGCTAAACACATTTAAGTAAACCAATCTAAAATTCTGGATTCTGGGATAGAACCTTCATAATTTTTAATCAATTGTGCCAGATCTCCTCCTATTTTGAATCAATTAATTATTATTTATACCCTCAGCATAATCCATTACAATACATAATTTCCCTTTGACAGTTTTGTAAACCTCTCTAAAGTTGATGATGTTGGGATGCTTTAGTTGAGCCATGATTCTAAACTCTTAATAGGTTTCCTAATCGTTTTAAATTCTCTTTACTTTTTTTTCCTCCTCACTTAAATACCTCATATCCATCTGCTTAATTACGCAAAGAGAATGATCTTTCAAGGACTCACACAAGTAGGCTTTCCCAAACGATCCTTATCCCAGCAAGCGAATTCTCTTGTAAACATCTGATTCTTTAGGTCTCATTTAATAAATTAACTTAATATTTGATCGATAAGTTACACGACAATAATATGTAGCGAACAAAAAAATACATATACATCTATTATACTATACAAAGCGATTGGTTTATAATTGCAAATTATTAATATTAAGAATTCATTATTTTTTATGTCTGGATCTATTACAAATTTTAGTTCGAATATACATTAAGTGCCTATTAAGGATTTGTTTAGCAACTATCCAGACAATCAAAGTGAAGAATAGGAATAGAAAATCATTGAATAATTAACCTCTTAGCCTATTTATGTTAATTAGTAATTTGTAAAGGATTGGATAGTTTTCACAAAAGATTTACTCAGAAAGTAACAGGAGGCACAGTAGGCAGAGACAAATTTATAAAATTTACAGATATTGTATCTGTAGGCTAAGGGTGAGCTAAAGGTAATTAATATATAAAATAATCAAGAGAAAAGAAATGTTTGGCAGTGCGACAACAGCCGAATTGTTAATGAGTTAAAATTTCAAGGAAAAATTAATCACAGATAAACTCAAAAGCATATAGGAGTAGCTCTAAAAGAAAAAAGACGATGTTCCTAATTTGATATATGTAGATATTTTCGCCGCTAAAATTGAGAGTTAAGACATCTTAATATAAGCTAAAGAATTACTGGAATAATTAGAATAGTACAATACGGATTTATTAAATCGATCATAAGATCAAGAACTAAGTTTTCAATTATTATCAACCGGTTCCTAAAACTTTTCAGATGAATAAACTTGGAGAATGAATTAGCAACAGCAGTAAAATTAAAGAGAAAACACAAACCCTGATTTGGGATCATAGAATGATTATACTATACAATCATGAACTTAATCATTTATCTAATATATAAGATTATCTCACACACCTCCTTTATCTTAGATAGCTCCATGCAATTCACAAAGATAGTCAGCATATGATCTTTCAAGTTGCTATTCGTCCTCAACCAATTTTGATTGTACTAAAGAAGCCTATGGAGAACTACCCATATGTTATCATAAAATACTTCTAGCGAACAACTCTTACAGGAACATAAGTGCCACCTCTGATCTACTGTAATGATTCGATGATATCTTAGACTTTGGTGCTGTAATCAGTCTCAACTTTTGTAAATAATTCTATCGAGTTTAGTTCTGCAAAAGAGTTCACTCCAAATAGCTAATATTTGATGATTAAATCACATTCTATAATAATTATTAATCTGCATTCTATCCGACATAAATATATATGAATTAGCTTGTATCTAAGAGGTAAATTCCGTCTGATTTTATTTTATCGATTGTGGTGGCAATATTGTGTGGCAATGCTGTCTTTTCTTCGTCAGTCATAGTACCCACATAATATTTGTCAGCCACAAGTTAATTATTAATGTCATGAATTGGGAACAGTTTAGGATAAAAGAAATTATTTAGAAAATGCATTGATTGAGTCAAAACTAAATGAATTTCAAAGATTCTATTATCTATTCTCACATTTCCGTATTTCAGTAGATCACGCTTTGATAGAGTTCATAAATAAAGAGGTAAGATCTTAATGGCTTCTGGTAAAATCAGCTATCCTGAAGGACTATTGCTCGAGCACTAAATTAAATATGAATAATACATATTTTCGATAAGCATGTAAGATATTGACAACTGACTCGAATAGAGTTTGTCTAATTTGCTTAATCGGTTGAACCATGATGTTTGGTAGATTCTTCCTGCTTAGTAAGGTAGCAATGCAATCGACATCTCCAGTTTTGAAAATGTTGTGCCATGCATTGTTTCCACTGTTTTTATTAACAACTTACAATTGTAAATTGAACACTCGAATCACTTCTCTGTCCTTATTAATTAGTGAATTAATAATGCATATTAGATATAGGCTTCAGGATCCAATATCTTTTCCTCTTACTTCAACATAATAGCAATGGATTGATCTGAATTTAGAGTAGACAATTCCAAATCTCTAACAGATATTTTTCCACCTCCAGTATAATAATCAAACAATATAATTCCTGGAGAAGTTCTGACAGTCATGATGAGATCATAAGCATAAGACCTTGTAAGGTTCCTATATAAATGCATAATGTAATTCTGTTCCATTAATTTATTAGTTGTAATGAGGGTAAAAATAAATGCTGCCCCCAGTTAAATTTGAAACTGGAGAGACAGTAGCTAATTCAAAATTTTCATCGTTCGCTACAAATAAGTCAACTGAGATGTGATTCCTGAGACATGTTTGTCCTAACTTCACATAAGCTTGATCGTTAGGTTAATAAAACAACTTCTCTTAATCAGTACCGAATAATTTAGTGTCAGTTGGTTTTTATGGTAGTTTGCCTATTCCATATCTCGGTGCTGAACATCCAAAATACAATATACGTCCACTTCTGGGTTACATCAATTAGACTGCATTTGATAACACTGTTCCAACAGAAACAAGTTAATTTGCCTATTGAGTAATGGTTTCCCCAAACTTACTGAGCTTCTCTAACATATAATCAATTTTATCTCTGTCATTCTCTATGTTTAAGGAATAGCTTCTCTGGTGGAAGTGGCACATTAGCTTCATCAATTTCACTAACTACTATTATTTAAGGTTCTCCAGTTAAGGTTTTAGGAATGTTATAAAATTAAAAATTTTTGAATCAAATGTTATAAATGCAACGTCTGTTTTATCTGGATATGGAATGGTATCCAAAATTGATTGAAGAGAGGAAATCACTTAGGAGTACAAACCCTTAGCCACTGATATTTGAGTCAACTCTATACAGAACAATATCAAAGTGTTCTTAATCTCCTTTTTTATATAACTAGTAGGGGCTATAATTTCATAACAACCTTTATTTAACTCATCTCTTTAAAATTTATCACCTCTTTAGTTTCCCTAACCCAACACACAATAATAATCAGGTGGCACCTAATTCTTCATTTTACAAATGTTGCACACATAGATATTACCTCCTTAACCAAATTAAAAGTAAGGACTAACATATGCTTTACATCTCTAGCAACGCAATGGTTCACTCGTAAATTCTACTTAAGGCAATTCTGATTCAAAAAGAGATGGTTCCATTAGTGGCTAAACAACGATACCAAATGGAATCTCTGTTTATTGTAGAATAGAGGGCTCATTTCCTATTGCATATACTGAACTTCTCATATATCTAGGACCGCAATTTCCTTCATCAAAAGTCTAATAAAATTGATGCACAGAAGGAGGGTGATATAAAGGGGCAGGAGCTGTTGAGAACCTCTTATAAATATTAATAAATACTATTAATACAGGATAGATTCCTCTGACTTTACATATGGTCTAGGAATCTAATCAACCATCTATTTTTGATGGTTTTCGCTACTACTCTACCTATTATTGGGGAAATATTTATTAAGGTTAATGTGGTTGTTATTGTTGGTATTATTATTGACCTGCATGTTATTATTATTATGCATTGTATTATTATTAATGATTATCTTGTTATGGCTATTAGTATGCATTTGCTTATCTTTATTGCACAGGAGGCTATTATATAGGTTATTCAGGTTCTCGATTGATTGGCTATTACTATTGAGTTCTTCTTAAATGAGGTGGCAATCTACGTTCTTCCATTATTGAACACGTAAAATTATTAATTAAATTTAATTATTTCATAAGTTATTTATAAGCTCATTCTTTGAATTCTTCTGATTTCTACTTTGAAACTTTAGCAGAATTAATAGCTAAAACAATTACAATATATATATACATAATGTCTTTTAGCCTTACTTATCATAGTCTCGATGTTATTTTGGATCATATGGCCATTTCTCTATAAGTTCTAATGGATTTTCTAGATAACTTCCTTAACCAAAATTGACTTTCAATCCATAAATTTTACCCTAAATGATAAAATCTATATAATACCCAAAATGAAGGATGACCAATGTCATTGATGATATGTAAATAGAATTCATTAGGTATGATATGTTGTACAGAAAGCTCTTTTTCTTGAGGTCCTTCTGGCAATAAAACGTATGCCCTTGCATGACCTTTTTCGTATCCAAAGTAAACAAATGTCCATTGGTTTTTTATTAATTCAAATGAATGGGAAACTGGTTCAAATAAAGGATCCTTTATAGTGTATGTACTGGCCAACAATTCATCAGTTTTTGTAAAAACAGCAAGTGTGCGATCTCCTATGAATTTTTCATCCCCTGCTATATCTTGACTATTAGTAGTTAATCTCACTAATCCTCTAAAATCATTTTCCATTTCAGGTAATAAAACAGCTGTTTGATACCAAAAACCAAAGCTATATGAATGAACCTAAGACCTATCAGCGAATTCATAATTGAGTTTATCCTTTTTAGTATCCATATCCTCCCAATTGGTTGTATCCATCATAGAAACAGGCCATACAAAATCATCAGCTTGTTGTGGAAAAACAGGTAGTGAGCGATGTAATTTATGTATCATCTCAACTACTTTTTGTGAGTCATTGATGAAGCTACCAGAACCTAAGAAAATCCTTGGATCAAAATACCAGCCATGAAATGCTTTGTAACCGAATTCACTTGCTCCCAATACAAAATGTGCATATCCAGTCAACACCTAATGGGTGACATCTAAAGTGAGATGAGCTGCCTTCTATTGTTCTTTAAACAATATCATTCCATAGAACTATTTATTTTTATATGCAGCATAAACATAGGTCCATTCTCCTTCAATGTTCTCATATGGCAATTAACCATCAACAGCATTTGCTGGTTTAGATGCATCATAAGTACTGAACTCATAATTTCCATAAGTAAGAAATGCTGATAAAACTCTATTTCCTAATTCACTCTTATCTTAGTATTATCTTTTATTTGAGAACCTAAATATTGTATGCACATCCGATCTGTCAATTAATGTGGTAGGGAATGCAATCAGCCATCTTGTCCAGACACCTACAGCATATTCATCAACAGATTCTGTCTCTTCTGTAAAGGTTACTTCTAATTTTTCAGGGGTTTGGATAATGTGACTCTCTTTTTCAGACCATAGATGTTTTTGATTGATCTGAATGTGTCTAAAGTTAGGTAAATGGTCTTAATATCCTTTCTTTAAAACATCCACAAATGCACCTTATCCATATTAAGCAACCCATTTTTAAAGATCACCTTGGAATTTTCTTGAATGTGGATCCTTCCCAACATAAATACCAATGAAATGAGGCACAAAATGCTAGACTCCATTAAAAATGACTGGTTTGTCTTCTGCAAATAGATGCAACAATGTGTGAATCTGACCTGCATCTTCATTATAAGCCATATAAATATACGACCAAGCCTTTTTTGATTCAATAAGTTCAACCTTTTCCTCCAGGAATTTCGCCTCATTCCAATCTTTAAGTCCTTTAAGAGTGTAGGTACTCAATTTAATTGTATCACCTGCACATATCTAAGCATGTAATGCTCGATCTCCTTATAATTTACGATCATTCAAATGCTCTTTATCATTATTAGTTATTCTAAACAATATTTAACAATTAGAGTTTATCTCTCCTTCTTTTTTTACTTAAGTTTCTGAGATCTTAAACCAACCAGATATAGCATATTCACCCACTCCACTCCAAGTGTCTCCAGTGCTTTCACTACCTTCATTATTGTCCCCTTCTCCAATCAACTATTAT